ATTCCACCTGCCTTTTTTGCAGCAATGAACAAATTTTTATATGGAAATGTAAGGGAAATTTTTATTTGGAAATGTAAGGGGCTCTGAATAGCCAAAACAATCTTGGTTGGGGGGTGGGGTGGGGTGGGGTGGGGTGGGGGTGGGGGAACATCATAGAGCAGAAGCACTCATATTTGCTGATTTCAAAATGCAAATAAAGTTACAGTAATCAAAACAGTCTGGTCCTTGTATACATACATAAACCAACGGAATAAAACAGACTCCAGAAATAAAGCAGTATGTTTATGTGTAATTTTCAATTATGGTACAATGTCCATTTAAAAGGGGGAAACTATGAGTCTCTTCAATAAACGGTGCTGGGACAACTAGATCTTCACATGCAAAAGAATGAAGTTGGATCCATGTCCAAGTCCAGAATGAACTTGGAAGTTATATATGAAAATTAACTAAAAATGGATCAATGACCTAATGTTAGAACTAAAAATCACAAAACTTAGAAGAAAATACAGGAGTAACTTTCACCCAAATCACAATAAAAATTAAAAAAAATAATAAAATAATAATAGTAATAATACAGAAGTAATGTTTCAAGACCTAGTTTACAACAATGGATTACTGGATATGACACCAAATGCATGAGTAACAAAAAACAAAATAGATAAACTGGACTTTATCAAAATTAAAAACTTTAGTATATCATGAGACTTTATCAATAAAGTGAAGTCAATGGGAGAAAGTATTTGGGAACCATGCAACTGATAAGAGATTAATACTCAGAATATAAAAAGATCTCCTACAACTCAACAAAAAAGAGAAACAAACCCAATCCAAAAAACGAAAAAGGGCAAAACACTTAAATAGACATTTCACAAAAGAAGATGAACAACAAAACACATGCAAAGATGGTTAAAGTCATTAGTCATCTGGAAAATGCAAATCAAAAATCACAATGTGATATCATTTCACAGACATCAGAGTACCTATAATCAAAGAGTCAGATAAATAACAAGTGCTCATGAAGATACAGAAAAACTGGAATCCTCACTCCCTATTGGCAGGAATATGAAACAGTACAACCACTCTGGAAAACAATGTCTGCAGAAAGTTAAAAACAGTTACCATATGACCCAGCAGCTGTACTCTTAGGTAAATACCTAAAAAATGAAAACACATGTCTATACAAAAATTTGTACACAAATCTCCGAAGGATTATTCATGATGGTCAAAAAGTGAAACAATCCAAATGTCCATCAAGTGATAAATGGATAAATAAAATATGATACATCCATATGATGGAAAAGTACTTGGCATTAAAAAGGAATGAAGTCCTGTTACATGCTACAACATGGACAGACATTGAAAATATTATGCTAACTGAAAGCAGCTTACATACTGTATGATTCCAATTATAGAAACTGTACACAACAGGCAAATATATAAACTAAGGGGAAGGAAGAGGAGACTGGTAAAGGATATGGGGTGATGAAAATGATCTAAAATTGATCAGGTTGATTGCTGCACAACTCTACAAATATACCAAAAACCACTGAATTGTAAAGTTTGAAAGGATAAACTTTATGGTATATGAATGGTAACTCAATAAAACTGTTAGAAAAAATATACATAAAATAGTAAACAACTTTGGGAAGTCTTATGTTTAAGAACACTCAGTTTTATCCTCATTAACTGCAGTGTGAAACAGGAATATCTTCAAAGACTTCTGCTAGTTCCCTTCTGACGCTAAGGTAGGACATTCTGGTCCTTTGGACATTTTTATTTATCTCAAGCCTCACTCCAGAAGGGATTTAAAACATGTAAGATGTTCAAATACATACTATAGAATATTTTCATTTTTAAACTAGCACATTCACTTTGTCTAACAAATAAGACTTGTCAAAATTTGTGGTCAAAGTAAGGCTAGTATCAAATAAAACTTGTTTTTTGCTATTTGTTTTCTTTACGCTAATAACTAGATTTAAATTTCTCAAGCAGTACATTCAAGAGACAGTACAGATCCTCTTAATTACCTGCAGTAAGATTAAGTCCCCCAAATTTTATAGATTATGGGTGTGGTGGTTAAGTTTGTGTGTCAACTTAGCTGGGCCTGGTTGAGTGGCTGGGCAGCTGAATGCAGTTATTTCCCATAGTGAGAATGGTAATGAACTCCATGGTGGAATTTACCACAAGCAGCTGAGTACCTTTTTTGGGTATGTGATATACTTCCCATATATAAGAAACAGCTTTGGGAATGGTCTGTAGCTTACGACACGCTTGAACCCTGCATGTAGCTGAGTCGTTGTTCAGCAGCCTGCCATGCTCTGTCAATCTTGGGACTTTTAATGGACTTGAATGAATGGCCTGCTGCGTGGTTTGGTGACATTGGGACTGTGCCTTTTTACTTGTCAACCTTGGGCTTGTCAGTCTCAGCAGCCAGCAGCTGTCTGAGTGAAGAAAAGCATCTAGCTCCAGTGGGCCGGAAGCAGGAAGCAGAGCTGAAGCCCAAGGTTAAGGGGGCTTTAACCCAGCCCCTAGAGCCTGGAACTTTGAACTCGGACTTAAAGCCTCCAAAATCGAAAGAGAATAAACTCCTATTTGTTTGAGCCATCCCACTTGTAGTATATTCCTGTCGGTATTCCTGTCAGAGTGGCACTAGGTAACCAGAACAATGGGGAACAGGAACAAAAGTGTTCTTCAGACATACTCAAAAATAATGGGGGGAAGAAATACAGAAAGCTCTGGTAAAACGTATTAGAGTATACAGAGATACCTGATCCTCAAAAATCAGACCCTTCTACACAAAGCCCTTTCTTCATTACATATGATAATCCTTCCATACCCAATTTACACTTAACCTTTCCATTAAAACAGACCAACATCAGAAGGGCAACATTATTGCCATCTCCCCTAATCCCATTCTACCAGTCGGTAGTCCTTACCTGGTTCTGGGAGTGCAGACTGGGGGGTCAAACTGGGAATTTCTGGATCCTTTTCCATCTCCTCAACGCTGGCATTGGTTTTATCACAAACATTCAATCGTGGCCCAGCAGAATCTAAGCGTCCTGCACAATTAGGATCTGTCAGCGCATCTTCTAGAACATTTGTGGAAGTAGGAGGTCTATGCTCAGGTAGGTCATCCCCCTTTTGCACAGGTTCACCAGGAAGCAAGACCCCAAAGGCACCCTCAGTGTTTTCTTTTTCCCTAAATCTATTAGTGCGCTTACGAGGTTTAGTGCGCCTTTGGTTTAAACGCTGCCACCGCTTTTTAGGCACCACTTGATGTACACCATTGAGTTCATCATTCTCACTATTCATTTCAGAGTCTAGTTCTGGACCTTTTTTGTTTTCAAAAGACAGGACTTTTTCAGGAATTTTGTCAGGCTCAGACTGTTTGACCTTGTTATCAAAATTAACATCAGAAAAATGGGCACAGTCTTCTTTTGTTAAATGGCCCTTTAATTGAAGGAGTTCTTTACCAGGGTCTTCCCCTCCACTCCTTGAAGAGACATTCACTGAGCCTCCACACTCTCTGTCACCCTGAAGTGAAGCCTCAAGAGTCACACCTGGAAGCCGGTTCAGTTTTCTTTTGCGCTCTGTCTTTAAGGCTTTTCGGTTCACTATGTTCTTTCCCAACTGGGCTGAAAAACCATCTTGTAATTTAGGTGATGGCTTTGATCGCCCACAATTGCGCCTAGTGACACAGTTTGAACGACTTTTGCCAGAAGCAGAGAGGTCCCTTCTGTCAGACATTAAGCCAGGTAAGGAGGTAGACAACTCCCCAGACAGTGCAGAGTCACCCCTATTAGGGCTGGGATGGGCTGAGTCCTGAGTGCTATCTCCATTTTTTTCTGAATTGTGGGTGGAGCTTCCTGAAACCAAGACCTTAGAAGCCCCTGCAGGACTACTTGTAGAACAATCCCCAAGACCAGGACTCCGATAGGAGACCAAGTTTTGAGCAGTCATCAACCGTTGCTCCTTGGTCTTACTATCATGCATATCTTTCAACATCATTAGCAATGTGCTGAACTTGTAGTCTGGTTCAATAGGTATGTGATTCTGGCCCGAGGCAGAAGTAAAAAGTAATGGTTTTGATGGCTTTGATGTTCCAGAGTCACTGACATCCTCACTTAAGGATCTGTAAGACAGTTCCTTCAACTCGGACAGAACATGTTTCACCACTGCTGTTTCTATGTCACTAGAATCCCTGGTTTTCTCATGCATGTTGCTCAGTAGTTTTAGCCCATCTACTTTCCCAGTTTTGGAAATGCTGGCCAAAGGAGACCCTTTGGTATCAGAAGAGCAGCATTTCAAATTGCAGTCCTCATTTGTAATTGGAGGTTCTGCCACAACTGGATTTTCTTTGTGTTTGCACTTTATACTTCGAATCTTGGGCTGTTTGCTTTTTGAATGTAACAGAACTTGACTTGCAGTTCCACTCTTTATTAGTGAATTCTCACTGGAAATACTTGATGATGTGTTGAATTTTGGAGGGAGACTGTCATTTCTGAAATCTGATGGGGGGCTGCAGATAAGGGTGGACACCTTAACATCAGAGAGATTAACCTGAGATGCCTCAGTTCCAGGCTCTGCTGTCTTAGTACAATCCCTTAAGTGGTCTGTATGTGAGTTGATAATGAGGGACTTTTGCTTTGCTTTTATCCTAGAGTTTGTGGCGGAAAACCGAGAATACTTTATCTTTTCATTTTTTTGCATGGATAACATATTCTCTGTTCTATCAAAAGCATCTGTAATTTCAAGGACACTGTTATCAGACTCTGAACCATGATCTACAGGATCCAGATCACTGCTTCCATCATCAGAAGTGGTACAGATGCTAATGGAATCACTTCGTTTTTCCTCATCACCTGCTCCAATATAGCAGAGCTGCACTTTTGAACTGCAAACCAGACCTCTTTGGGGTTTCTTCCTCTCGCCAGAACGTTTAGAGATCAAGGTACCCTCAGGCAAGCCCAGTAAAGAGTCACAATTTGAAGTCTCAAATTCTTTCTTTGCAGTGTTTTTTCCACAAGAAGAAAAAAGGAAATTTCTCGGGGCAGTGTTGGACCCTGTGAGGCTGTTTGCTATCCTAGAAAGTTCATTAGAAGCTTGCTTATCCGATACATCCCCAGAAATAAAGTTTAGGCCAAGGTTTTCTGGAATCTTTCCCCTCTGTTCTTCTTTACGTGCTTCAAACTGCATGTGGTTCTTTTTCATACTAGTCCTTTTTGGATTATCAGAGCTCTTTCTGACTCGAGACTTAGCACACAGCTTTTCCTTCTCATCTGCAGAATGTTCAGAGTCAAAGGCCAGAGAATTTAAACAGCCATTAAGCAACAAATCATGTTCTGATTCAGGGTCATTTGAACAGTCCTCAAATGGCATGTCCTCCTCACTGTCCAGCTTGATCGAACTTCTGACACATTTTCGGTTCTTTGATCCTTTGGGAACATCATATTGTTCAGCAAGACCAACACTAGCTTCCCATTTACTTAAAATTTTCTGAGGAACCTTAAATTTAAAGGAGGGGGGGGAAAGAGTATCACTGATCAAAGAAATGGGAACAAGCACAAAGAGATGATCAGTAAACATCTCAATTCAAAAACATTTTCTAAGTTTTGCTGCATTTCTCCAAGGCCTCTTAATGGGACTGGGCTAGGTGATTATCACCCACAGTCTTCCCAGAACTTATCCAATAGGGATTTCCCAACATTACATCTACCCTTATGAGCTATCATTAGAGGAAGGATTGACCCCACAAACTCTCCATGCTCCCTGACTCTATAAGCACAAAGAAAGAGACCACAGCATAGATTAAAACTCAAAACATGACATTTGTAAATCATGGAAAATTCAGACCCTTCCTACTTAACCTTCCCCACCTTAGAATCAGGATTTATTTTCTTCCTGATTTATAAAAGGCAAGCATATCATCAGTTGCACAAAACAGAAAGTAAAAAGCTAAAGAAAATGAATATGTAAAAAATAGTAAAAGAGGAATCAACGGGTATAGACCTATCCCTGCGGGAGCTGAAATTTGAACCTCTGGTTACCACTAGACCCCTGGCTAATCAAGACTCTTAAATGTGATACATACAACTTGGATTATAATCATACTATCTCCTGGGCTTGGTCATGTATTTCAGATGTTTATAACAAATCACATATGCTCTTTCTTCGTGGTTTCCTCACATAATGAGGACACTGAGACTCTGTGAAATATATTTCCAGACTTCAGGCAATATATACTAGTTAAGGTTGTTACTACCAGTTAAGTGTTCACAAACACTTTAATGCTTGTGAAGGGATGTTCTGCAGAGTATATAAAAATTCAGGTCACTGGATAAAAGCAGAATCCTCTGAATAAGGCAATAAACTGACCATCTGGTTTATTTTACACACACTCTTTCTCTTTTTCTTACTTACTAATTCTCATGACTAATACCAGAATAAGTCAATTTTCCAAAATTTGAAAGCCCTAGAGAACTCTGAAAAGAGAGGTGGTAAATCTGCATAGCTAAAGGCTTGACACAAAAGCATTCTGACACTTGACCACTATCAACAAGCCAAAATATGAGAAACAATGAAATTAGTCTACTTCATCCTAACAGCAAGATACTAATTTTTTGGAGCACAACCTTATGACATATTGAGCATTTTATACTTATTTTTATAGGGTCACTATGAGTGAGCAGTGGATGGATGAGTTATTTCTAATCCTCACAGCAGATCTTCAAGGTAGATACTATTATACTGGTTTTAAAGAAGACACCAAGCCTCACTCAGAGTACTAAAGCTGTAAGTGTCATGGCAGGGCCTGCAAACTGCCTCTTAATTATCTTACTTATGATTTATTTAAAATAATCTAAAAGCATGTAAACACAAAGGAGTATGAAACAGCAACTATTTCTCTTTCTATAACTGACTATAAAAAAAAGTTAAAAGAAACTAAGCCACAATTCTACCAGATCAACTTTAACACAAACCATCAACAAAAGAAAGAAAAACAAAATATTCTTGATTAAAGTATAATCAGGTGAGAATCTGAAAGCCTAAAGATTGGAACAAAGGGGAAAAAAAAAACAAAAAAACACAACAACAACAAAGTCTTATCTTTCTTATTTTTAAGAGACATAATTACACCAGAAAGTAAGAAACAGAGTATTTCAGTGTGATGATCACCTTCCTCTTGCTTAAGATATCACCTGAGATGGCTGGCCGAACCATGTTGTACTACTACTTTTCAGAATAGCATGGCAGCGATAGATAAAAACTGAATATAAATATTTAGAAGACTAACATCACACAACTCTGATTCCCAGTTATTTTTCACAGATATCCTACTACCAGAGGAAATAGATTATATTCCAAAAATCTGATACTTCTTCCGTGCTTCCTCCTTGCACATCCATCTCTAAGAAGATAATTTAAGAGAGGACTGTTTTGTTTTTTACCTTATGCCTATAGCCTTTTTCTTTCTGCTTTCCTCTCCTCCTAAGCACAGGTAGTTCTTCAAACTGATGTCTGCCTTCAAACATGACGATTGCTTTTCCAGCCACCCAGGCTCTCTCCGAAGGGTCTCCAAAAGCCTCTACGTAGTACTGCCGATAGGGTCTCCGGTTGGAAACTAGATAAGGATAAGAACCAGTGCTATTACTTTTAAAAGATGAATGCTCATCATCAACAGAACTATACCACTGTTGCCATAGAAGCCTCTGATTACAAAATATCAGCATTTTAAAAAAATGTCTACAGAACAAGAAACCCCGAGGTAGGTTAGACACAAGGAAACTTTAAATATTCAATTCATGAAGAAAATGCTTAAAGTTTACGAAAAAATTCAATGGCTTAGTCCAGTGACATGCTAACTATGCCGATACAGTTAGAGGTTGATGAGCTTAATCACAAAGTAAATCAACAGAGCAGCCAACCTACCATCAGTCTATAAAATACTATAGCCTTACAGCCAGAAAATATACAGAATATGTACTAAGATGTAAGAACATAAATACAATAATCAAGCAAAATCTAAATATAGAAAGCCATGTTTAAACACATTTATGGAGTAACTACACTAAACCAGGCACTATGCTAAAGTGCTATACATGGATTCCTCACAACAACCCTAAGAAGAAATTATTTCCAGTAAAGTCCAATGAGTTCAGAGAAGGCAAATACGGAGAAAGATGGTAAAACACTGGCTTTCTAGAAAAAGTAGGATTTAATCCAGTATCAAAACAGGAAAAGTGGAATAAATAAATTACAACAGCATTAAAAACAAAAATTAATTAGTTTATTAATTAATTAGTTACTCTACTTTTTTTGGTTGTCTGAACTTCTAAAAGCAACACAAATCCCATCCAGAAAAGACTATTTATATAAAATTGAGGATAAAAATAAAGCTAGTTTTAGATAAGCTGTATACACACACAAAAAAACCTATCTAAAAGTTCTTAAACCTAACTTGAGAAGAAAATGAATCTCCCATAAAAAAACTCAACTAACACAGACTGAGCAGTTATACGCCAGCACTCTATAGGAGAGAAAAGATCTCACTGCCTACTGGGCATAAATAGATTATAATACAGCATGATAACTGCAGTAACATAAATACTCATTTTTTGAAAAGAATAATAAAAAGACATTAATTGGGTGAAGATTGGGACACCTGGGCAGAATTTTTCAAAGTAAACATTTTTGTTAGTGAGAGAATTCCAGAATGAGGGCCAAGAACTCTCAAAGGCATGAATGAATAAAAAAAAAAAATGGAATAAGCCATGAACTACAAATATTGTATCGCATGTTGTTGATGTTGTTGTTGTTATGTGCCCTCATGTTGGTCCCGACTCACGGCAACCCCTCCGTGTGTTCCGAGGTGGTATCACTACAGAAATAGATTGCCCAATCTTCCTTCCTAGGAGTGGCTGGTGGGTTTGAACCACAAGCCTTCTGGTTAGCAATCAAGTGCCCTAGGCACTACGATGCCAGTTGTTGTTGTTGTGGTGTTGTTGTTGTTATGTGCCGTCGAGTCAGATCCGACTCATAGCGACCCCTCTTTAGGTTTCCGAGGAAGTTTTCTACAGAAGTAGATTGCCCAACCTTCCTTCCGAGGAGTGGCAGGTGGATTTGAACCACCAGCTTTTTGGTTAGCAGTGAAGTGCCTTACGCACTATGCTACCAGAGCTCCTCTACGCTACCAGAGCTCCGACTATATTATATAATAGAAAGAAAAGGAAACTAAGCAAGGGCCAGGTTGAGAAAAACAAGAAAGCCACCTTAAGAGCTCAGGCATTATCCTGCTGGCAATAAGTAGTCTCATTTAAACTGGAGACTCACAGGCTTGTTGGTGTTGTTGCTATTTTATTGAGGTGAAAAAATATATATTAAAAAATGTGCCATTTAAACCACTTTTAAATGTACAATTCAGCAATATTAATTCCATTCACCATGTTATGCAACCATCCCTACTATTTCCAAAGATTTCCATCACCCCCAACAGAAACTTAGTATATCTTCAGCAATAACTCCCCATTTCTTTGCTACCAGACCACGGTAATCACTAACAAATATTTGTCTCTCTGCTTTTATCGATTCAACATATTTCATATCAATGAGATAAACATTTGTTTCTAACTTATTTCACTCAGCATAAAAGAACACATATTGTAGTATGATTCTATTTATAAGTGATGTCCAGAATAGGAAAATTTAGAGACAAAACTACATTAATGGTGGCCTAGAGCAAGTTAGTTTAAAGGTTTAGGAAGTGGTGACAGTGGAAGGAAGTGGATAACTAACAGGTTTAGGGTTTTTTTTTTTTAAGGTAATAAAAGTAAAACTGTTCATGATAGTTAAAGAATTCTCTGAAAGTACCAAAAAAAAACACCTGTTAAACTGTATACATTAAATAGATGAATAGATAGTATGTGAATAAGATCTCAATAAAACCAAAAAAACCCACTACCATCAAGTTGGTTCTGACTTATAGCAACCCTTTATGACAGGTAGAATTGCCCCCATAGGTTTTCTAAGGATATAAATCTTTACATATGCAGATTGCCTCATCTTTCTCCTGTAGAGCTGCTGGTGGGTTCAAATTGTCTTAGCAACCAAGTGCTTTAACCACTTTGCCACCAGAACTCCTTATAGCTCAATAAAGTTGTTTAATAAAAAAGGACTTGATGATTGGTATAAGGAACAAAAACGAAGATATGGATGACTTCTGGGTATTTTGTTTGGGTAACTAAGTGGTAATTTGTTGATGATAAAAAAAAAATTGAGGATAAAAATGAAGTTAGTTTTAGATAAGCTGAAGCTCAAGGGCCTAAATGACATCTTGGTGAAAAACTTTCAAATAGAGAGCTAACTATGCAGATCTGAGGGAGCTCTGGTAGCATAGTGCCTAAGGTACTTGATTGCTAACCAGAAGGCTGGCGGTTCAAATCCACCAGTCACTCCTCGGAAGGAAGATGGGGCAATCTACTTCCATAGTGATACTGCCTCAGAAACCCAACGAGGGGTCGCTATGAGTCGGGTCCGACTTGATGGCATATAACAACAACGACAGTAACATGGGAATAATGAAAATGCCATGCAAGAAGGAAGAGGGCAGTTCAAAAGAAATAAAAGAATTACCAATACTTAACGGCAAAGTAAATAGCAGGATTCAGCAAAGGATAATGAAAAGACATGGGGGGGGGGGGAGAATTACAATATCAACAGAATCACAAAAGTCAGGAAGGACATGGTTACTCTAAGGTAGTGGGAGTAGAGCATTTACCTGTACCAAATGCCCCCCAAAATTAAAAATTAGCATCCATTGAATTACAAGGTCATCGAAATGGCCCTGCTGAGAACTAACTTAAAAGAATAAAAGCAGAGAATGCCAGTTTTCAGTGAATTCAAAAGTTGGTGGCCTATCTGAAAGTAGAGATGGTCAATGATTCCTACAAGCTGGGTTATGAAGTGAAGGTAAAAAAGTTATGTGTAGGGCTCTTCGGACAATGCTGCTGTAAAGTATAAAGTCGATTCCAACTTACAATGATCCTACAGGACAGAGCAGAATACACTATAGGATTTATAAGATGCAGTCTTTAATGGAGTAGACTTTCACATCTTTCTCCCACAGTCTAGTGGGTTCAAACCACCAACCTTTTGGTTACCAGCCAAACACTTAACCACTGCACCATGAGGGCTTCTTCTTATAACAGTAAGCATTAAGTACATGCAAATATTAGTTCCTTTAAGTCCTATGGTATAGTAACTAAAGGCATTTGACTGCTAACCACAAGGCCCACGGTTGAAACCCTCCAGCCACTCCACTGAAGAAAGATTAGGCAATCAACTTTCGTAGTGATACCACCACGAAAACCCAAAGAGGGGTCGCTATGAGTCAGATCCGACTCGACAGCACTGAGTTTGGTTTGGTTTTGGTTGTAAGTCCTTTAGAGGGCCCTGGGTGATGTAAACGGTTAAGGGCTGGGCTGCTAATGGAAACATTGAAGGTTTGAATCCACCCAGAAGCTCAGAAAAAGGCCTAATTATCTACTTCTGAAAACAGAGCCATTAAACACCCTACAAAGGGCTCGGGACCATAGTCAAAGGGGACAGCAAGCTCAATTGGCATAACATACTACACAAAACATTGTTCCACCTCCTACTTTGGTGAGTAGCGACTGGGATATTAAAAGCTTGCAAACTGCCAT